TGCTGCATTTGGGGTATTTCTGTGATGTATTTTTCAGTTGTGTCAGGAGTACATACAGCACATGGGCAGGCTTACTTTTCTAGGATTTGCTTTTCTCTAAATATATAAAAGCAGCTAAGGTATGTCCATGATTTCAGTATATGGTCATTATCAAGTTAAGATAAAATTACTCAGAAAATGATATGCCATTTATTCAATGCAAAAGTAACCATGGCTCTTGTGGTTTTCAGGGTAAATAGTCCATGGACCCTGATCTCGCAAAAGGTGAAACGTGTGCAGATCTCTGCATTCAGTGAATATCCCATTGACTGTCATTGACATATTCACAGTTCATACAATTTAACACATGCATAAGTTTTTGCACAGTTGGGGAGTGGCCAAAAGCCCAGATGTATTTTTAAGAAACCAGGAGGTTCCAGCAGCCCATGTTAGGGCTTTTTGAGTCACCCAGATGTCAAATGTTTGACTTCTGTGAGAAGATGCTGATGTGCTTTTTGCTTTGATTCATGAGGACAGATGGATGGATCTTACTAACTGCAACTGGAATTTAAGAGAAGTTGATCTCACTTCTTAACGGCAACTAAAACCAGGTCCTTTAATGCAAACTGGTAGGAATAGTTAAGTGTACGGGGAAAGTGTTGATTGATGACTTCCTGTTGTTGTTAAATTAATGATACAGCAAAGTTCCAGATAAGTTTGGGCTGTAGCCATGTGTGTCTTCTGAGATCAGATTTCCAGTCACAACCCCTTTAAAGTAAGTTGTACAAATGGCAAAATGGGACTAGCTTTGCTTTACCCTTTTTGATTCCTTTTGGTAGTATTATGTATACCAGTGATCTGACTTCTGGCTTGGGCTTGTGTAAAAAAATTGTATACTGTCTTGTGAACATGACATTCCTTTCTGCCTGGTATCATAGCTGGTGGGGAAGAGGGAGGCACCAGGATCAGCGCTCTGGGCACTGATTCATGTTCAGGAAGCCTGTGCTGAGGCAGCAGCAGCCCACCCCACCCCACCCCAACAACTGCAGCAGCCCCTGCATGAGGGGTGAAGTGCTCACTTCCCTTTTCTCTCCTCCTCTTCTAATGCCACCCAGGGCTCCAACACTTTCTGTTACACCTCTGTTTGCCTCATCTGGGGCCTGAGTCTTCTGGGCCTCTGGGATGTAGAGCACCCCTGAAGTTGATGGCTATGCACAGAAATTGAAGTCTTCAAGGGAGTAATTCTATGTAAATGAGCTGCTTTGGGGACTTTTATATTTATAATACAGTTTTTTTTTTCCCCACAACTCTCACTCCACTGTTTGGTATTGACTTTTTAAAACAGTTCATACCAATATGAATTAGCAACTGCTTCTTTTTCTGAAACCCACATTCAAAACTTTCTATTTAGATAATACCAGCAAAGATG